GTTTAGCCAAAACATGAGGCAAAGTCAAGGTGCGTGACTGTTGTTTTCGTGGTGTGTATCTAAACAATTGGACATAACCTTACACATTAAGACAAATATTAAGACTAGCATTACAGTTGACCCTAAAAGCTCTTTTCCTGTAACCTTGGCGTGCCTGCAGTCCCTGCAGGCTGAATAGTTACAGCAAAGCTAGTCACCCTGTCTGCACTAAACATTCCTAGACAACAAATCTCTATCCACATCTATCTAACTAAGAAATAACCTAACAGTGGTCATAATGTTATGGCTGGCCAGTGTGTATTTTTTTAGTTGGATGTGAATTTGGGATGTGATTAAAGGTTACCGCCCTAGGAAGCAGCTGTAAGGACGCTGTGTTTATCAGCAGTGGAGAAAGTACTCTGACCTTTTACTTAAATCAAAGTTGCAAGGAGCAGAAGTATTACCACAAAAATATACCTGAAGTATCAAAATACTTTGTTCGTAACTATTGGTTGCAGCTATGAAGAGGAATGACTTTATATAAAAACTGAATTTATTACATTTATTTGATAATTAGGTCTTGTATCTGAAGATGAAAAGGAACTGTAGTCATAAATGTAGTGGGGTCGGTGCGCCTCTTCCCCCTGGAGGCCAAACCGTGGTAGTGCAGCTTTAAAACATGGCTTGAGAACATTGACTTTATTGATCCCAAGGGAAATTCAGCAATGATTACCAAAATTACAGCACCCAACGTAAAGAAATGTGTAAAAGTACAAGACTAAAATACAAGGGACAACAAAGTATGGAAAAAAAACTATATATACATCGAGTAACACGTGCCAGGTAGGCAGGAGCTCTACAGTGAAAAACTGTTTCACCACAGGACTTTCACCTCAAATTTCAGACTGATAGAAGCTCATTCATACAAGGATGTGAGGATTCCTGCGCAAAGTATCAGCAAGCTGCTGATCACTGATCCATGCTTAGAAACTAGGCAGGGCTAAAGGTACTCTTTAATCCTGAGGTCAGACTCAAAAGGGGTCAAATTCTGAATGAATGGATTTGACCTGATCTACAGACCTGGTCCTGATGGTGGCAACAGCTGGAGCACAAAGTACTGAGTACTCACCCCCCATAGTGTCGTGTAGTCATTGGTGAGGGATCACTTGACCTCCGACGAGTCCCAGCAGGGGCCCTGTTGCACTGAGGCTTTGCACATGAACATAAAGGCAGAGGAGGCTGCAGAGACTCAACAGGTTTTGTTGTTTCAGTGAACAACTGGCATCCTCAACCTACGTGGAGTAGTAACCAATACGCCTGGTTTCAAGGGTATAAACTGGGTGGACAAAATAGCAGTGACAGCTCTGCGCTGTGCAGTACAGTTCAACCGAAGAAAAGCAGCGTTTGTTTAGGCAGATGAGGTCTTTACTGATAAAGCGATGAGAAATACAGTACAGTATATACACAATATTCACAGCAGTTAAGGTGACATTACATGTAAAACAGCTGCTGTACAACAAATTACATAAAAGGTTCACACAGAGTTACTAAAGGGGATGTCACATCGAAATCTCAACACACCTGAAATGAAAAATAAATTTGCTCCCCATCAGAAAAGTACAAAAAAGTGAGGACAGGCTGTTTCTGGACATGTACATAGGAAAGACAAAGCAACACTGTGAAGCATTCAGCAGGCGTTCCACCACACATTTACACAACTTACTGCAGCATCACATTTTGACAATTAAACATTTCAGATTAAAAGTGACTGAAGATTTTCTCTGTTGTCAAAGCAAAGATATAAACAGATAAGTTTAAAGTGCAGGTTCTGTTCGGTCTGACTGTTTTGCCAAAGACATTGACAATGCGACGATGTGCACGCCGCTGTGGATTGGAGTCAAATCCATGAAGAAATGTTCAAGAATGAGCAAAGTTAAATCATCATTACTGATCTCAATGCTGATTTACAGACATCCGTGATTTCTGGGTTTCAGACTTCTGCGGCACGATCTCATGATCCTGATGTTTTAACCATCTTCAACAGGCGAGTTTAAACTAACTTGTTCTACTTTTACTCAAGAGGAAAAACAACAGCAGATAAACAACATTTCTTACGACTTCTCCAAGCTGCCCATAGTGTTGAAATACACCGATGCCCTGTAAACCACATACATAATACTGTGGATTACTCGGTGACAGGCTATGACGACTCAGTCTGCCGAGGTGAAGTATACAGTACATGAAGACATCAGGAAGTCCTTGTGATAAATAATACAGTGTGTACACACTCTCTATGAGGCCACATTTAAATGAACTCTTTTATCACAAGAGAGAACAGGTTTTGTTTTGTTTTGTTAGATCCGTCCAGTGGAAGCTGTGATCTACCCTTATCTCTGGACACCGGGCCGTGAAACACACAGAGACAAAAACCCTTCATCGCTCATTCACACAGCATTTAGAAGCACAACACCTGTGATGATTTGGGTTTAAAGGGGCAGTATGTCAATAGGTTTACTCTCCTCACCACCAACCTTCGGCTGATAAAATGCTCGTGCACAGCTTAACTGGAGGACAGGTTAGAGGGTTTTCAAGTGGAAGTGTGTCATGTATGTGTGTTCACATGACTGAAATTAACAGAGCAGAGTTCAATCCCCATTACAGGTGGGTGTGTCACACCAAACTCTACACTGTGGTCAGCGGCACCATCTGCACAACTCTAAGTTAATGAAGTCGACTGTGATGAAACAGTGTCAGACTGGGTGCAGATGCTGCTGACTAGAAAGTTAAAGAGTCAGAGAGAATGAAAACTGTCACATGACAGCTACACACAGTTTTTTTCATTTACTCCTGGTGTAGTTTGTGTATCACACAGAAATGTGGTCATAAATAGTAAAACCAACTAAAATCTCTGGAAATGCTGCAAAAGATTCTGCTGAAGTCAGAACCTCAACATTTCCTGTTTTTGGGACAGATGGGCACAGAAACAGTAAATGTCGAACAGACAAATGGAATGTAGTTACAGGAAACAGATGAGAACTCAACAGCAGCCGTGTCAAGTCTGACAAAGAAAATCCCACCTTGATGCTATACTGTATCTATCTTGTATGTTGAACAGGTTCTTCACTACGCACCAGGGTGGCCGACACACAGCTGGTGCAACAGGCTGCTCTCAGCTGTGTGGAACTGAATGGCGCCCATGTTTCATGAGCACATACTTTTTGGCACAATACAAAAACTGCATCTCATAAAAACCCCACACCCACAGTGAACGCAACTGCAGCAGTTTCACCAACGCCAACTGTCTCCACGGTGAAAGGGCGTCGAGGGAGATCAGACCAGCCTGTACGTCCATGACGGCAGGCTCGATACGCACAGATCAGTGTCGCAGCAAGTGGCAGGTGAACAGACTCAGACCTGGTCCAGGGACATGCAGAGAGCTCCACACAGAGTACAACTTTATAAAACATAAACACTTATACCTAAAATATATTAGAAAAAATACTTTGGGATATTTCTTTAAATGTATACAACAGCTCAAACACTTGTCTCAGCTTCTCTTTATATTATAGAAATTTTTAAATACAAATTGTGGCTAAAAGTCGCCTCTGCGTTAAGACCAGTGTTTTGGTTTGATTCTCTTCATGGACGACTGAGGGCTCTGCTCAGGTAGGCCAAAAGTGACAGACAGAGGTGGCGCTGGTCCAACCGCATGCTTCAGACTAAACACTCCCAAAAACATCAAACCTAATTAAGACTGAAATCCCAAGTTTTTGTTCCTGCATCTAGTTTTTCAAATCAGCTATTTTCCCCATTGTAAAACCATTATATATGCCAAGTCATGTAACAGCAGTTGTAATTTTATATGAAAAAGAATTCATACAGACTTTGAACTATTTTTGTCAAATTATTAATTTTCTTGTAAAATTACAACTTTTCTTAATTTCATGTCTTTGGTGCAAAATGAGGACATCATGTGTGTTTCTTCTAACAACTGCACTGTGTTGTAAAAACTACTCTTACTCAAAAATACAACTTTATTCTGACGATGTTAAAACTTTCCTCCCATTCCGCCGTAGCCTGAACATGAGCACTACAATAAGGAGTTGTTTTTAGTGGCTGTGTGTGAAGGAACTGATGGTTTTCACTCACATGCCCCTGAAACTGAAGTAAAACACTGAGCTGAAGGTGAACCAGTCCAACGCTGCTAACCAGGTCCTTCACCTGCCCACATGTTCCCTCTGATCAATTAGTACATAAATCCACTTTGGACTGGTTTAGTTGCATTAACACCGTTATGCACCCCGGGTTACTGGGAAGGATGCAGAATGAGCTCAGAGCCGTGCTGGCCAGGTGTGTGTCGGGCGGAGGTTCCAGCCGTCGCCACTGTTCACGTCAGGAGGGTGTGTTTGACGGAGGCCTCGTCCAGCAGAGCCTGCACGGTGATGCTCACCTTTACCAGGCCCCTCTCCTCCAGGATGTGGTGAGGAAGACACAGTTTGTCCTGGGAGAGTCAGAGCGCAGGGCAGATGGAGAGAGAGAGGAGGAGGAGTGCAGGAGCAGAGGAGACAGAAGGGCAGGCACAGGGTTCAGACAATGCTTCAATCTAACGTATGCTTCTGCATCTGCGGCGTCATGACCTCCAGCTACTGACAACGGCATAAACATGGACCAACAAATATTCTGTTTTATTTCATTTTTAATACACACATGAGAGCAGCATGGATCTTTTCAGGTTCAGGTCACGTTAGGTCCTCACGTTTCTCCTGTAAGACTTTCAACGTTAAGCAACGACACTGCAGAACCCACAACACCCCTAAACTGCATTTAATACCTCAGACGTTCATGCTGTCAAACATCGTACACAAATCAGAAAAATTAATCCACCCACATCAGCACAAATGTAAAAAAACGTAACAACCGCAAAAAAAAAACTTCACTGCTGGAATTAATTCAGAGAATATGAAGAAGTTAACACTTTACTCAACCCACAGCTTTACTGTTCTCTATATAATAAATACAATGCATTTTGTTTCCATAAAATGAAAACTTAAAGTACCAATAACGCCTGCAGTCACTCAGCTTCTGTGAATTAATCCAACAGACATGATGCTGTGGGGATAAGAAACATCCTCTCAGCATCACACGCAGAGTGGTGTGCTGCTAATCCTCCATGTACCAAACTAGTATATATATACATATATATAAATTCATCTAGTGCCTGCAGCCCTTCACGTTCTCCACAAACAGGAACAGTGCACCAATGTAAATAAAACAAGTTAATTCATTTATACAGGCAAATAAACTCCACTTTTTCCTTAAGCTTCAAAACACCACACTCAAATAACTGTTTATTATTCAACCAGATAAATATAACATAACATCCATCACTACCCATGGACATATGGCTTCAGTCACCACTTTATAATGGCTGTTTGTGCTGCTCTGGGCATCTCCACACAGGAATCATGTGCTTATGCAGTTTAATCACTGAAACTACAGGAACAGCCATGAAAACACAGCTTCCAGTCTCTGACTGTGGTCACTCTGAGACTGGAGGCTTTTATCTGTGCAGGAGGTGAAATTTCTGGAATGAACACATTCTGAGAGTGAGCTGCAGCTGTGCCAGGCAGCGACCACGCTGTAGGTCTTCACCACCTGGAAGACGTCTTAGTGAAATCTTTAAACAGTGACATGGTGTCTCAATAATCTGGCCAACAGGAGCCATTTAACTAGCGGTGACTGTCTTGTTGTTACAGCAGCAGCTGCCATCTTCACTTGTCTGATGACATGAACGCTCACAAGTCATAGCCGTGAGAATCTGTCCCATCATTACTGGAAAGATATTCTGCTGATAATGTCCCAATCTGAATTCCAAATCCAAAACAGAAGAAACCACTGTATTAGTCCTTCTGCATTTGACTTCTCTTAGCCTATAGTTTCATATGACCTGCTAGCTTTCCAAGGCCAGCACTGCATGTCAAAGTCACGTAGCTTGGTGTATTATAGTGGCTGAGCAGCTTGTTCCTAATTAACCAGCACGTTACTGGTTAGCTCAGCCGCTACAGATGTTCATTGGCTTCATGCAGTTAACTCTTTGTCATCCATTCTGAGAAGTGAAGATGAATTTTATTCTGCTGTCGATCCAACTGGCCACCTGTCTATAGAAAACATCTACTGGACATTCTTCTGTTCTATATTAAACTTATTTCAGCTGAAACATTCTATGTTGAGAGTCTATGTATGCGTTTCTTTTATGGGTATCTATTTCAGTGTTATGTAATCAGACTGGCAGCATTGCACTGTCGTAGGGAACTTTAAACTTTCAGTTACAGCCTTGAAGAGCATCTTTAGCCAGTAAGTGGCAGTAAAGAACCTGTTTTATTGGATTACAGTCCTATAAGAAGTTTAACAGACGCCACAACCATAATCTACACCTGAACAACTTATCACACTATCACACACTAGTTACGCCAAAGTAAATGGACATAGCAACAGATGTTAGCTGTTCTGATTCGTCTCCAGCCACTTGTCCAGTCGACCTCCACTGTGGTTCCAAATGTCTGCCAGCTACTGCTCCCTCAGAAACACTGGGCTGCTCAGTGTGGAGCGCTCACTGTGTGAACACTACCGCTGACTCCGTTTCATCAGGGAGACAGTTTCTAACTGTACCACTTGGTCATGGGCACAAGTCAGTGGTTTTGTTCAACTGTAACTTTCAATGCATCCAGAAGCAGGGCACAGCCTCAGACTGGAATCACCCCTCTCCCTCCTGCACAGATCACAAATCCCCACTGTACAACATGTCGATAAGACATCAGTGACTTCAAGTAACCATATATTTACTGCTTCAGTTCAGTTTCAGAGTCAGTTGACTGCAGGGACACATCTGAGACGAGAAGGGGAAATGAACGGGCAGAAGGTGAAGAGAGAAGCGTTGGTTCACGCTAACGCTGCATTCACATCACATGGGCCCAACAGTATTGATCTGGTTTAAAAGCATCATCCCACATGGGGACATTACACTGGAAGCGGGTTTGTTTGAACTTGCTGTTTGATGGTTCTGCACGACACAAACCCACAGTTTGTTAATGAGGCTACAGAACTGCTGACAAGTCCATAGTGAAACAACCCTCACATGCTCTGAAAGCATCACTAGTCACTCTCCCTGTTGTCCACAATGCAAAGGGATCCCTTCATGAAGAAATTTCAATGCAAGTGACGGGAAAAAACCCACACTCCTTGTTCTGTACAAACATACATTTAAAAGGTCAGATGATATAAACAAGTGACTTTCCTATAACTTTTAATAGCAAATTCGGACTTTGTGTTGCTGTCCCTCCACACAGCTCAGCAGAACTGGACTGTAGTGAAGCTTCCATGTAAATGTAGCACAAATTGAGCACAACGTTTAGGATAAAATGCTAATTAAAGCACATTTCCACCCAGTACTGTTCTGTGTTAGGAGGCATGTCAAAATAAACTGGTGGATGTGGTGGAAACGCTCCAAGAGGGATTCACAATCTAAAAAGACCTGATTTAAATAATTTAGGCTGTTCCAGTTTCACATAAGCTTCCATTTGAACTTCGCAGTAAAGTCGTCTGTTTTATCCTCTCTCTCTTCCACTGAAATCAGTTTAGGAAGGAAGCTCTCTGGACAGGAGGAGTGATTTTTTTTTAGTAAGATTCTTCCCATGTGACATAAATGCAGCAAAAACAAGGAGGAGGGGCCTGGGCAGGCAGGTGATTGACAGGAGGCTGCTGTCAAGGTTACGTCAGCTCGCTCCAAGTATAGGCCACGAAGAGCAGAACTAGGCACAGGATGTGAACCAGACTCGAGCCGATAAAGTCCCAGATTTGCCAGGCGGGAGACGGGGTTTGGGTGGTCACTGAAACCAGTGAGGGAGTGTTTGACACCCTGGTGGAGGTGGGGTATGGAGTCATGAGTACCTCTTCCCATTTCCTGGCTGGAGAGGTTGCATCCAAGGCAACCAGCGCCAGAACTGCAACGCAAACTGGCTGAAGGTGGCACTGGATGATGTCATAGGGCGAACAGAGGGAAGACTGGAGTCCCCATTAGGAGGGGAGGGGAAAATAAAGGAAGGGAGGGACGACACAGGGAAGGAGATGGGAATGAAACAACATGGAGAGGAAGAAAGGATGCAAGGAAGGAGAAAAGGAGGAGGAAATATGAAGGTAAGTAAATGCAAGAGTTTAAAAAGTGTTTTAAATAGTTCAAATAGCAAAGAAGTTAAAAAAAGGGGAGAGGATGATGGAGAAAAAGGGGAACAGGGTAGAAAACGAGGAGAAGAGAGGAGTGAAATATTGTCCGAGAAAGAAAAGATGAGGAAGAAGCAAAAAGGAGGAAAGACGGGTGAAGATGTGAAAGGGACACAAGGGGAATTAGGACAAGGAAAAGGAAGGAATGGGTAGGAGGAAAAGGTGGGAAACAACAAAAAAAAAGGATACAAGGAAGGAAAGATAATGGTAAAGCAAAGGAAAAGAAGGATGAGGGACAAAAGAAAGATGGCAGGAGGTAACAAGGAGATGAGTAAGAGAGGAGGGAGAATGGTTGGAGGTAAAGTGCAAGAGTTAAAATACAAGAGAGAGAAAGAGAGGGAGAGGGGAGGAGGAGAAAGGCCAGGTGAAATATACTCCAAGGAAGAATCAAAAACCAGGAGGAAAAAAGAAAAGAAAACAAGGTGGCACAAGAGGAAAAAAGGATGTGATGAAGAGGATGACAAGAGAAATAAATAAAAATAGAAGGGTGGAGGAAAATGAGGACATAAATATGAACAGGGAAGAACAAATCGTATGAATGAGGAGGATGAGGAGGAGATGAGGTGAGATCCGGCCGGAAAGTAAAGAGAGAAAGAAAAGGACAGAAGTCAAAGGTCACATGTAGGAGTGTGAACTGGTGGCATGAGGCGGAGGCAGGCAGGGGTTACTGTGGCAACCAGCTTGGGGATGCTTACTGGGGGGCGACGAAGAACGTGTAAACTGTCTCCTCTCTCAGTAAGCAGCCAATAATGGAGAGGTGAAGTGGCTGATGGGAGAGCCAGTGCAGCAGGCCAGCACATTAGCACACAAGCTGTTAGCACATTAGCTCGCAAGAGGCTTCACATAGAAGCTTTGTCAGTAAAGCATTCAGGCCGCAGGTAGCAACATCCACACAGAAGCTGGAGACAGCCAGCAAGCAGCAGAGACGGGGTCAAAGGTCAGGTCAAATAAACAGCTCTGAAGCAGCGTGTCCCACAGAGAAAAGCCACAGACACCATTTGTTTTTGGAAGTAGAGAAAAAAAGTCTCTAAAAATTACAGAATAACACAATAGTAAAGACAAAACACACTAATAGAAAAGAAAATATAATAAAATGGTCAAAAGTGAAAAACATACCAGTTCAATTCACTGATCACCTTCTGGCATGATATGAATAATAATTATGTTAATATTATGGCTGTCAACGGTCATCACGATTCAACAGTCCTGGCTGTGAAGACTAACCCTGCTTGTTCTGTCGCAGGCGGACACACCTCAGTGTACAGATGTGTTTTAATTGACTTAAAAATCTGATCAACACAAACTTCCTGTCACTTATGCCTGTGCATCTGTACTGTAAGCATGTGTCTGTGGACTCCTACTGTAAAGACTGGACAGAGGGGGAGACAGCTGGCCTGAATCAGTGCAGAGCTAACACAGGAAGCCACCGACCCAGCTAAGAACTAGTCCAGCACATAACCCTGGTGGGCTGATGTGGCAATGATCCAAGAAGTCCGGTGGAGAAACAAATCAAAGTGCTCAAAGACATAGCAGCTGCATGGAGGTTTACACTGTACAACCCCCTGAGACAGATGTTTACAACAACATCTTTTGGTACAATAGTTCAGTTGGGAGGTAAACAGTAGAAATACAACACTCGTGCTGCAAAATAATCTACCAGGAATGTCATCAACCACTGCAGCCAAGTGACAATGTTCAACTTTTTAACCAAACAACCCAGTATTCTACAGAGGAGCCCTGTGTGTTGGCAGAACACACACCTGAACATGACCTCAGAGGAGAGGGACGGTGGACTTTTTAAAATCACTGGATAGAGTCAGGCTAGCTGTTTCCCCGTTTCAGGGCTTTATGCTAAGCTAAGCTAACCAGCTGTTACTCAGCATAAAGACATGAGAGTTCAACCTAAACACACAACTACTGGCAAGAAAGCAAATAAGCGTGCTTCCTAAAACGTGAAACTACTCCTTTAAGACTACCTATGGTGCTCTCTCATGCTGTATTTCCCAGAATGCACCAGTCACAGCATATGAAGAGAGAGACGGGACAGACTGGGGACAAATGTTCAGACGCTACACCTGTTCTTTCTCCAATGCCTTTAATGCTGCTCATGTTTGAAACCCATTTAGACAGCATCAAACCAAAACTTCTACGCCCGAACACACAGTAAACCCAGAGCAGCTCAGTCTGGCGCTGAAGCCGATCGACTCCTGTCATGATGGAGGAAGCTGGAAGCCACAGGCAGTGATGACAACGGTGATGAATCAGCGCTACAAGTTGACATTAACAAAACCAGCGTGAAAGCGATGAGAACAAAATGGAGGCAGACAGGAAATTTAAACCAGTCACGGAAATGGCTGAAGGGTTTGAGTTTGAATGTACAGATAGGAACACAACTTGGGGAGTTAACACACTCAGCAGTTCTTGAATTCAAGGTAAAGACTTCCCAGGCAATCTGAGTATGGAGTTCCTTTAAAAATACTGTAATTTAGTATGTACATGGAAAATATTAAGGATAATTTAGTGTCATATTTATGTAATAACAGCTGAGAACTGCTGCAGAACCATCAGCCTTCATCCCAGATCTGGTTTACAGTCTCATGTCGTCTTCAGTGTCCTGCAAAAATCTTTGCTTTTCGTCTCATTTATCAGCACAAGTTAAAATAAGCAGCTAATACTGCATTGTCATCAATGTCAAAAATGTGTTGTTCAAGATCCTGATTTATGTTCTGCAGGACACGTACACAGTTCCTGTCACATCCTCCGGCCATCTGATCAATAATCAGTCACCTGGAGCCAAACTGAAACCATGTCGGCAACAAAGCTGTGTTGGATTCCAGTGGAGTTTCTCTGATGAGCTGGGGGTGTTTTCAGGCTGGGGGGGTCACTGGTCCGTCAGCAGCAGTGGGGCTGCCCAGTCTGTTATACTGGTTATGCTAAACCCCAACTTCTTATAGATAAACTGGACAGTGACGAGTTGCATCCAGTCATCAGTTATAAACTACAGTATGTTGACTGAGTGTATCAGTCTGAAAGCCCGTGAGACGGCGAGCGACACACTGAGCTCTGTTTTCTTAGCCTATATACTGGACACCTGGCATAATTAAATGTAGCCAAATTAGCTCCTAGCAGCTCCCGTGTGCACGGCACCCGTGGGTGTACAGACTGGATCACTCTGCTACTGACCAAAACACGGTGACTCTCAGGCAGGTCTTCTCCAGTGATCTCCAAGAGCATTTGTGGACGTTTATTCACATCAAACATGAGGTTTTAATTCCTCAGCAAGTGACACTGAATACAAAATTATGCGCATCATGTCTGTATGTTCAGATTTGACTGAGGACTTTGTGGTTTGATGCAAAGATGACCTCAGTTATAAAAGCCTCTGTTTATGTCTGGTATCAGAGTTTTTACTTCGATTACTTAGGCAATCTAATCTAACCTGAAAACAACCCCCAGTTTAGAGACTGCACCGCCATCAGAGCATGGCTCAGGGTCTGGTGCCTGGCTTACCTCTGGTACACCGATCTTCCTGCAGGCGTCCAGGAAGCTCTCCACATTTCTCCGGCACTTGGCCATGCTAAGTTTGGGCTAGAAGCACAAAACCACACAAATACACAAACATGGTGATTTACACTATGCTTTTCAACTGCTCGGTTCTTTAACCTGTGTTAAAGATTAATTTGGCTGAAAACAATAATCTCCCACGATCACCAATTTTAGAAGCAACTTAAACTGTATCAGAAAAATAAAAGTAGATGACAGACACTCTGGGTGATCAAGCTTCATGCGTTTCGGTTTAACAGTCATCATGGGGGTCAAAGATCACGACTGACAGTCCGAGACATACCACTGCAGGCGAGGGGACATGGATGCTGGCGACAGAGCGTGGGCGAATGTGATTGGCCAGATGGCAGAGCACAACACCGTCCATCAGAGACGAACCCAGGTCTTCGGGGAGGTCGACCTTCAGCCTGCTCTCGATGCTCTGAGGAGGAAACAATATCAACAGGTGGGTGCATGTGGTGCCAGTCACTGTTTACCACATCCACACTATTAACACTGCACAGTGCTGTGTACAGTTTACTGTTGTAATAAATCAGTGTTTTTACAGTCGACAATTAGTTTCAACAAAGTTTCTGTAGCGTTTTTCAGGAGAAGTCTGTGTTTTCTAAACCTATCACAGTGCACAGCTGTCAAACACAGTATTACTACCGTACATCTTTTGGAGCTTTTACTTCATTATTTATGTTTTATTATATTTTTCAGTTTCAGTTGTGCATCAGTGGTGCTATCTGTGCTCATGCTCTGTTTTTATTAAAAATAAATGCTGAGTAAAATAAGTAATAAAACAAGAGAATGTTCCTGTAATCACAGCTATGAATGAAGTGTGAACAGTGTGTCTCACATCTCTGAGCTGCTCCATGAGCTCCAGCTCCTCCCGGAGCTGCTCCATCTTTCTTCTCATGGTGAACTGAGGATCCACAGACTCCAGACTCTTGTGACTCCGCAGGAACACTGCAACACACAGAAGGACAACTGAAGTCAGCTGACATGTTCACATGGACACAGTGACGTGGATAAAATCTGCATTTATTAGAAGAAACAACCAATGTCTCTCAAACATAGGTCATTAAATGCATCTCTCTGCAAGTGAGTGAAAAAACCTGTTGTATCAGGAGTGAGTCTTCAACATCCTTCTGGTGTCAGCTCAGTCTGATACAGTTCATATCAAAAAACAGCTCTTTCAGTTCACGGTCAAGTCCTGCACTCATTACCTACTGGTGCCACACCAGTGATGGGGAGATTTACCATCAAATGTTATAGTGGTTTTTTCATTCCAGACACAACAGCTTCAGATTTCCAGGAGGCCACCTTCAAAACTGTCCCAAATACAGTTTTCCTTTAAATAGCAGCAAAAACAGTTTTTCTTGCATGGAATATGATAATAACTCCTTGGATAAGAACCAAGAATGTGGACAAGAACTTGATGAAATCTGGGATTACAAATACAGATGAGACCAGACTCGAGAGAGAGCAGCATCGGTTCCTGTCAGTGTGTGAAACACTCGACCTCTTCATGCCCTGGACCAAAACACACACACACCTGCAGGTTAAACCGTTCATCTGCTTTCTACACATGTATGAACCTGAACCCAGCGGTATCTGAGTAGTGCTACTGGGTGGCCAGAGGGAGGAGCTAGAGGACACTGAGCCAGAGCTCAGTAGAGGAGGCTTTCTACTAACCTGCACATGTTAAATCAGTGGCACTGATTTATATTCTACTACACTGGAATAAAATTTGTCTTAAGGCAGTAAACATTTAGATTTGCTTAGTGACATGTATTCATAAATCTTAATTTAATAGTTGGAACTTGCATAAACTGCCTTGTCTCAGACTACACAGCCATTGTGCACTGACTATATACTACAAATTTGGGTATAGAACTTGTAATACTTAGAAGTAATATGTGGATATTACTTCTAAGTATATAGTCATATTTGAGGCTTCAAACTGATTCATTAAAATATATGATGTATTAATAAAACTGGCCATTTAAGGTGATGGTAGATACAACTGGGTAAGAGGAAAATGTATTCTGATTTGGACTAACTGGTCCTTTATGTTGCTACAGTTTGAAGTTGGTGTGAAATTTGATTTTGACCCAGATTCTGCAGAAACAATGTGACAAGATGAATATGAGGTGCAGGTAAGACGGTTGCATCTCTGTTCAGAGATGTGACCCAGATCTTAGAACCAAGAAAAATGACCTGAACAGATAGAGTATGTTTGTCTGACTCCAAGAAAGCCTTGAGTGATGTGCAGTCTCAGTGAGGGAGATGATGAAGGGCAAATTCTTTTACCTCTCTGGTTTTATCTTCTAGGTCATGTCATTTCACAAGCTGCTGAGCACTCCCTCCTCCCTCTCTGCCATCTGGACACTGTGAGCCTGCAGCATCTCTGTGCCTCCTCCTCTGGCGACTTATTAAAACCCTGCTTGGGAGAGTTTCTCACAAATACACTGATTCTAGGAACGTGTTCAGCAGTCCTGCCCTGAAATACAGTGACCAAGTCACCATTTGGTCTCTGTCTAACACAGCGGTCCCCAACCTTTTTTGTACCAGGGACTGTTTCATGCATGAAAATTTTTCAGTAGACCGGGTAGATGCACAGGGGTTCCAATAGCAAAAACCTTTGTCAGTTCATAGTATGTAATCTGAATGCAACAATTACACCTTATATTAGGCAATTACAATAATTCTACACTATAATATCAACTCACCATAATGCAGAGTCAGTGGGAGCACTGGGCTTGTTTCCCTGCAACTAGAAAAAAATTCCAAGGGCTTGTCTTTTAATGCAGGGTGTTTTGTCTCAATGTGGGAAGCATTTTTGAGGGTTTTATGGTTTCATTAGCTAGTCGGTCACTGCAAATTATGCATAGCGGGTGTGGAGCTTGTGTATCACCTGTTGCGATTAACCTGTAACTTAGGTAGGAATCATGGTATTTTCTTTTAAATGCAGCTTTCTTTTTGCTGGCAGTCTGTGACCCTTCTGCTGTCCCATCGTTTGCTCGTTCCTTCCCGAAAAAGCTCTCCAGTGAATTTTGTTTTTGGGTCATTTTTTTTAAAGGGTTAGCTTGTGTCACTGATGCGTAAAATGGCGTGCCAGAGTCAAGTGTGGTAGTGAGGCAAGAGCGGAAACAGTCGTTTTTCAAACCAAGACTAATGAAAGAAAAATAACTATAATTTTAACCACGAATTTTTTTCTTTGCAGCCCGGTACCAAATGATCCAGGGACCGGTACCGGTCTGGGGACCCCTGGTCTAACAGGATCAATCGGTCAGCAGGGAGCAGACCTTCCCTGGAAAATACTCATCTGTGTGCTGACAACTAGTGGTGACAACATGTTCTCTGCGCATATTTAAAACGATATGCATTCAAATTGTAAAAGTATGGGGATGTCCCAGAAGGCCATAAAGACTTAGAGCAGGACATCACCACCATCCGTAAGGGTGGTGAAACATCCCTTTAATGAAGCCAAGATGAACATGGAGGCAGACTTTGTTAACAAACAGAGCCTCTTTTCAGGACTGACAGGCAAAACCACCACCACTGGACGAACTGAGTGACTGCTGCTGCTAGTCCAGACACACACACACACACACACACACGTTTGTCATTGACTTACTGCATCCCCTAGCCCCTGACCCTAACCTTACCCATCACAGCTAAACGTCTAACCCCAACCCTCACACAAATAAAATCATGTCTGGACCCTCAAACTCCCCTTTGTGCCCACAATGTACAAGTGTCCTCACTTGAAATCAGCCCTCACAAAAACAGCAATACCCCCACCCCCTACACACACAACACAGACACACAAATGCAGGGAATCACATGCTTAAAAACAGATAAACATTCAAACCTTGATCACATGCACAATGTACAGTCACACGGAGTCATGCTTCCATCACTTCAGAGGACATTCACTTCCTGGAGACCTACACTCACCTCAGTCCAAGTCTTTACTCTAAAATGTGGTGATCCAATTTACAAGAACTTGTTCTGTCACCCCAAAGCAAAGGAGGGTCTCCACAGTGCGACTGTGTAAACACACTCATGTTCCCACAAGTACACAGGGTGGTGACCGGCTGCTAATGAGGTCAGGAGCGGCGAGGTAGTATATATAAAAGATTGTACTCTTCACAAAGAGAACAAAGTTAATTTTAATCCCCCCCGAGGCCTGAGCTCATTACCCACCATCAGTCATAATCTCATCTCACACACACACATAACCTGCTCATGTAGAAACACACCACACTTCAGCGAGAGAACACTTTTGTCAAACTATGAAAGGGAAAAATGTTCTTATGGCTGCAGGCGGTAAGACCACCTGAACTGGCACACAGATAGACGGATGGTTAGTGGACTCAGAAGAGAACACTGCTGCTCATCATGAGATGTGAGCTAGGTGTTCCTAATAAACTGACTCCTGAGTGCATAATGAGACTGACAGCAGGCTGGAGAGACAGGATGACAAACAGACACTTCACTCATCGTGAGGGAAATTCACTCTTCAATCAACGGACAAAAATAGATCAAGCCCATGATTCTAGAGGTGTGCAGGTTCAGCACACAGTGCAAAGTACTGTAGTACTAAGTTAGTGTAGAGATAACATAAACCCCACATACAACACATCAGCGTTTGTGCTTGACACGGGGGGCGCGCTGTGAGTGACTGAGCGTACAGAGTAGCAAAAAGTCGGGCAACACCTGTATGTGTTCAGAGCAACTTTGATGCAAAGAAACAAGACCAACGCTTTTTGGCATAAAGCCTTCGTCAGGTTCTGTTGTGCAAGGCTTTATGCCAAAAACCGTTTTCCTGCGTTTGTGCACCGTGAAGTGGGTGAAGTCGAGCTGGTACTTTCTGCTGTATACAGATCAGTTAGTGAAAGAGCCTCTGAAGAGCCTTCTCTGTGAGAAGTTTGTCTTTACCCTGAGTGTGTAAACGGTTCAACTGCTCGGAGTCGCTGTGAACTTCCTGCAACATATCAAGGCCTTTTAAGGAACAGCACCCCTCACCACAGGGAGGGAACGCACACACACACAGCTGGGCTCCATCTCAAAGCTCGGACTCCATTCCAGGGGAAGTGGGATACTCCTTCAGGGACCATTGTCTACCACTTAAAATATAGGAGCCAAAAATACATGCACACACACACGCGCAGAGAGAGAACCCAGACTCATTCATCGTGCAGACATACACACACACACACATTATGGCCTCAGGCTGTCCGACAGATCAAAAGAGCCCCCCTTTCATTCCATGAAAAACACACCCCAAGAACACCAATGTCACCAGGAGAACAGTCCAGAAAACTTGGTTTGCAGGGACAAACAGGGAGATCAATGGGAAGCAGAGACACATGCAGGTAGGTCAGATTAGATGTGTCCATGATAGTAACATTCATGTCATGCAGCACACCAGTGACAGGAGAAACCGAAGTCCGAGCCGAAAAAAAAAGTGAAAATGGGGGGATGTCAACACAGAACAGGACAAGAACAAAATACAGATTAGTGGCATTTCATAATACAATATAGTATTTCAACATGCTGTTAGCATCATTAGCAAAGGTTGGATGGTTGCTAGCTCTTAAAAGCGTGGGGCTGAAGCTCATAAACAGAGACCACAGAGCTGCATTTAACACATTTTGTGTTGAATTAACATTTGATTTTGACAATTCAAGTCCAGCAGAGAGCCTCGGGCTGTTTCACCATCCTTGTACCAGGGAACTTCTTAAGAGATGATTGTTACAAAATATGAACTCAGTAGGTGGTAGGCAATTTTCTTAACAACTGAAAGTAGAAAAAACTACTTTAGGCAAGGTCACAAAAACACTTATTACTATGCTAGACGGCGTGCGGGGATGTCACAAGGCATCTCAGATGCAGCATCGGTTGTCCTTTACTATGACACACCATAGGAGATAAAACAATCAATTGCTGTGTCCAACGCTGCTTGTCAGTTCAGACCTACAGTGCAACCAGCCACCAGAAGGCGATCACCAGAGGGTGGTGGCTTTCCTTCTTGGAGCCGCCATGGCGTCCATATTTATATACAGTCAGTGGTCATCACTGACATCCTGCTGCTCGTCTGATCAAAACCATGTCATGATTTTTCCACCCCGATCCCACCAGAGCTACCCACATTACTATACACCCATGGTACAGTGCACTTTAGAAAACCTGCATCAGCTTTTTGCCCGTCAACAGGATGTGAAGAGCAGTCTCACACTGGTTTGGCCATGTATCCCAGCCCACCCTCGTAGCCCAGAGCCAACTCACCTGAACGGGGCTTCAGTCCAAACGGTGGGCTGGAGAAGAATGGAGGTCCGCTGGCTGGAGATCTGTCATCTTGCTGCGGCAACAAAAACACAAACAACATGCCGTTTTATTAAGTGTACTGAACAGATGGGCCGTATTCTGTCCTGTGCTTCATGTGGGAGCAGTTTGCAAAATCACACCAACTTTGAAATAACTTTAACCATTATTGATCTTATATAACCAACTGAGACAGAGGGAGGCTGGGCTGATCCCAGGTCAGCACTCTTTAACAGACGTTAGTACTTTATGTTTTGATGTCAATACTTTTACTAAGTAACATTTAGATGCAGGACTTTTACTGGTAACAGAGTATTTTTACACTGTTGCATTGCCACTTTTACTTAAGTAAAGCAGCTGTCTACTTCTTCTACCACTGCCTGCAAAACGACATATCCAGTGACAAATCAGGCAGCTCTGCCTAATTTGCATATCTGGATCTAATCACAACGCAGGCAGAATGACGACGACAAGAATTACATGTATCAGTAGCAGTAAATGAAAACAAATCCAGATACAGGTCAGAGGTTAATACCGGGTAAGTACAGGGGAAATCAGCAGTCAGCATCTAGCTCAGGGACACTTCAGTAGAGCAAAGCCAGCCAGTCATGAAGCCACACTGGTCAGCTGTTTGTCCTCACAGAGGCTGGTTCGGTTTCTATAAATGTCAGTCACTGGGGATTTGAGGTCACCCAGGTCAGATCCTGGACCAAGACTTTTTTTTGTCTGAGAGGCTGATTCACAGTTGGCCTACGTGTTCGTTCCCTGTAGAGCATTGTTAGACCAGCATTCTTCAAACACAGCAGATGTGTTTCTCATTTGTGAACCTACAGTCTCTTCTCTCTGTCTCTGTGAAACACTGAAGACTGAGCTGTGATGTTTGATGGCAACACAGAGGCTCATTCAGTGCATTCCATAACAAGACTGACATCTACCTCAAGCCAAGTCTGGAGCTGAAGCCAGGATGTGGTTAGCTTAGCATAAAGGTTGGACACAGGGGAACAGCTAGCCTGGCTGTGTCTGAAGTTTAACATATGCACCTCATTTGTATGGATGCAGCTAACAGCAACTTTCATCATCATTTAACCAGATGATTTTTTTGATTACTCAACTGTTTTGTCTACAACTGGCAGTAGTGACAACAGTGAAAAGTGCCTGTTAAAACAAGGTGATGGCAGCAAATGTTTTGTTTTGTCCAGGGAGTCAGTTTATTGTCGTGTGTGACCAGAAAACAGATCAAATCCTCAAATCTGGGAAGGAAGAATCAGCAAGTATTTGACATTTCTGCTTGGAAAAGAACTACATTCATGTTTTGATTATATAAATAGTTACCAATTAATTTTCTGATGAAACTGATGAAATGAATAATCAACTAATCAGTGCAGCTCAACTCTGTTTAATCTGTACAAAAACTGAATAAACAATGTGTGGCTTCAGAGGGGGCTGTGTCCTGAAGCAATTTCCCAAAATGCTGAACTTTGACAGGAGTTTTTATTTCTTTTTATTAGTGCGGCATGAGGTCACAGCTGTTTTCCAGGAAGTTGTTTGGGGGTGAACTACAACAAAGAGACAATAACTGTCTTACTGCCAGATGCAGGGACCCAAACTGACTGGTGAAAGATCTCGACTGACACATAGCAAAGAAACACGTTCCCATGCTGTTCACATGTGTGACCCGCTGCCAGGTGAAATGTCACATGTGAAATCTCCATGTGGTTCATTGGCTCTAAATGATGTGCAGCTCACAGCAGACAGACGCACAGTGAGAGATATGACTGAAGACAGCTCAGAGTGTTCGCTCTCATACAATGTGATTTCCTGAAATTTTTTTTTTAATTCCGTCTCTCAGAGTGGGAATGCACCTACAATGTGAATTTCAGACCCCTCCATGATTTCTAAGTGGGAGAACTTGCAAAATCGCAGGGTGTTCAAATACTTCTGTTCCTCACTGTATGCCACTGATATTCCTGGCTTGCAAGCTGGGCCCAAAACCTGGCCTTCTCTAGAATCATCTGTCTCTTCTTCTGGAACTCATAGCCCCCTTCCTCCATGTGCTGCTACAGAACGAATCACACGTTTAGGCCTTACACTTACTTACAGGCTTTACTTTAGATTTCTAAGGACAAAGACACAATATTTTAGGACTTACTTGAACTCTACCACACAGTTAGTGAATACCTAGTGAGGAAAAGGTGAGTGGCTGTCACCAACAGCAGTGACTGCAGCTTCTTGTCGACCCAGAAACCGTAACAGTCTGAGGATGTGTTCTGCTAAGTCATGATGGACATTTGTCATTTTTTGGATAGTTTATTAGCTAGTCAATGAGTCAACTGAAGGAAGGTTCTTCGATGTTGCTATAATTATTAGCTATGGCATAAATGTTGCATTTCAGAGTCAGGCTACAAACAGATGATCTGATGAGATGATTGATGTTATACTACTCTATACATCTATACTACATCATCAAAAATAGAATTTTGTTTTTACAGAATCTTGGTGGGACATTAGTCAGAGGATCCCACCAAACTGTTCTCTAGTCTCTGAGTGAGTCATTCAGTTGACACCGAACAGCATCTCTCTGACTGTGGTCTCACATGCTGATGACAACCTGCTCTTTTGAGCTGTGCCTCAGCTCACAGTAACAGTACCTTTGGTGTGGTGGCACCGTCGTCGCTGTCCTGCCCACTGAGGAGAAACAGAGAGACACAAAGGAAGGATACAGTCAAGCTTGCAGTCACAACTTCCATGTTGACCATCTGTCGTTAAAGACCCTCACTTCAGAAATGGAAAAAGTTCCCACAAATAGTTTTATGCAAACAGAAACAAGTGTCCTACTGCCACTGAATTTCACCAGTAGTTTAAAAACTGCTCTTTGTTTTTGTCTGAAGACTGTTGTACTGCTGCAACACACCACAAACACTGCCACCAGCAACGTAAGATACAGCAGGTGAATGGCCATGCTTCGGTTAGTGGCACCAGTGAGATAACTGCTAATGTAGTGTGCAACACCAGTCCTGAGGTCTCCTTCAGTTTCACTGTAAATACTGGCAGCCCTGACTGACGCAGTGACCTGGTGCATCATGTGAAACAAGCAGAAACAAGTATCCTCCACTGTCATCATACATGGTAACTGAATCAACACGTGGTAAAGTACTGACGCAGGGTCTTACTTGAGCGACTCGTCCACCGTGACCATTTCCACCGTGTAGAGCTGAACTCCAGGCAGGTCATCAAGCTCCGTGCTCACTCTGACACACACAACAACCACATTATTACGTATACAGTTCTGATCCGGAAATGAAACTGGCCCTGCCTGTTGAGCAGCAGCTTAACAGCTTGTTATCAGACTGTGATCAACATTTATGGTAAAGGTTGGTGTCCAGCTAAGGACTGGCTAACTTTTGTTAAGATTGAAGAACACGATGTTTATTAGAGGTATGAGCTCTGCCAAAGTGTCAGGTCTAGGATCCAAACGAGCTCTGGCTGAATGCCACACCATTATGTTTCAGTGCTACAGAGCTGATCTCACCCGCTAGGGTCCTGCAGCAGCTCCACAGCCTCCTTCAGCTGACTGATCATGTCAATGTGGAGCTCTGTGCCCCCCGTGACCTTTGGCCTGTTACCACAAAGACATAAGAAAGTCACTTTCGGCTTTTCCCGTTTAGGGGTCGCCACAGCGAATCGTCACACTGACGACTCGCATGCTGACATTTGGCACATGTTTTACGCTGGATGCCCTTCCTGACGCAACCCTGATTCGAACCCGGGCCGCAGCAGCAAGAGCGCTGCGCCTTAACCACTAGCCTACCAGGGACGGCTGTTACCACAAAGACATAAGCGGTGTATAAATTTTAGGGCCTTCCTTCCCTGGTAGGCCCTCTTTCATTGCGCCACTCCTAAAGCTTAAAATGTCTGCACATTTGTTTAAAAATAATCCGAGGACAAGCCAGTCAATGAAAGAACACATTAGTGTTCATGTCCGACATTTACTTTCTTAGTAAGGCTTGTTCATACACGTGCTTCCTGTCGAATTAACCAAACCTGCTGCTACCTTTCAGACACCAGCTGTTCAGGTGTGTGTTCATTAATCAGATAAACAGAAAGAGAGAGATGAACTTACTTTTGTTGCGTTGGCCACTGTGACTCTTCTTCTATCCTGAGGGGCTCGTCAAAGTCTGCTGCCGTCCGACCCTGCACACACACACACGTCAGCACCAGCTGCAGCTGCCACATGATTCAGAGACATTACCACCTTCCCCCGTTCACAAACACAACAATACGGCCATTGTAACAATCTATTCCTTCCATCCTCAATTCGCTCCGTGTTCCTCACAGACGATGGACAACTGGGATGACTTCGCTGTTTGTTGTCAAATTCATATTTGATGCCAAATCCTTATTTTGCCTGGAACACAGCTGTTGTCCTTGTTTGGCCACAGCAACACACAGGCTCACTGTGACCTAGGTATCTGTGACAGGACAGTTTCTCTAACTCCACTCTAAAGTGAACCAAACTCACATTAACATGAAGTGACAGTTTAGGCTGTAGGCTCCATTGAAACAAACCACAGATTTGAGGAGCAGTCTCACTGGTGCAGGAACCAAGCAGTCCAGTGTTTGTGGCTGAACCCTTTACGGAGTCACTCTACAAAAATAAACCGACACACAAACAGGAGGAGAAACACGTCATCTTGCCTTGATGTAGTTGACAAAGCGAGCACTGAGACCAGAGTCTCTGTAGCTGAACTGGTCCCTCAGGGCCTCCGTAGGACTCTCCTCAATCAGACGGACTGAGTCGGAGTTTGGATCTGCTGAAATGGAGGAAACATGAGGCGTGAATGTCTTGTGCTGCAGTTTGAGCCCTCATGTCCACAGGACTGGGCTGCGGCTCGGTCACTGTTCCAGGGGAAACATCTCAGGACACAGACATGTCTCCACATATTCAATACAGGTTTCGGGTCATTTGTGCATTAAAGAGCTGGTATTATGGCCCCCTTTTACCCATTTTTATAAATACTGAGTATATTTTAAATATATCTGGGACATTCTCCAACTCAGGCTGCTCAGAAGTTATTAAGATAAATTCCACATTATTCATTAGCACCTACTCTGATTGGCTGAAGGTGATAACCTAATAAATGGTCTGAGCATTCTTATGGTCTATCTACACCATGTAGATGGCTGCATCCCCCAGTTTTGGCTCCAATATTAAAATGGTAAATGCATTTTAGGGGGGAAACTAGTATAAAGGAGTAAAAACTGCAGTAGGACATTTGCATAAAAACCTGCAGCTGTAAGTTTAATATTATTAAAGAATTACATTTTATATCACTTTAAGGGACTCTGGTGCATCATCATTCTTCCCATTGTTCTCAGTTTTCACAGCATTGAAACATTTCCTCAGGTGTCCTGAGATCACCTCATTGCTAACTTGACTGGAGACACATCGACTTGTGAACCTGTGAGTGCTTGTGTAGGTGAGGTACTGACAAGCCCTCGCTGCATTATTAATGCAGAGTGACTTAGCTCAGCTCAGTAAATGTGACCCTCATCCAGCTCCGACCTGACTGAGGCTGATGAAGTCTATTTAAACAGTGTGTCTGGGGAGCTGCTGCCACTCTTCTCTACCAGGAGTTCAACAGCCCAGATATTCGCAGATACACTGTGGCATACACAATGGAAACACAACTGGTAACACCGTCGTTTTCAGATCAACAGTGGCAGATGAACAGAGCAGGGATGTGCTTTTGCTCATGACATGATTCAGACTCAGAGTTGTTGTGCACACAGTGTAGAACGTGTTGATGATTGTAGTCACAAATTCTGTTTCTTGTGAACAACATTAAAATTCAATTCCCCAACTTGAGAGTTGGAAGGGGGGGGTTGCAAACATTTACACAGCCCAGACACATGGCCACTGTGAATTCACCGTCATTGTTTGAAAACTCCTCACGTTGACACCTTTCCTGATCTTAATCTTAATCTTCACCATCTGCCTCCACACCGGACAGGATGTCGTGGACAACGATGTGTCCTCTGCTGTCACAAAGAGGAAACCAAAGAGGAAACCAGACAGCGTAGAGAGCTTTCTGGACTCCTGCTAAGACGTGTGAATGTAAGGTGTGTGGTTTTCTGTGGTTATGCAGAAAAAATTGTCCTCAAAATCTCTGTGAGGTCATTTCTACACTGTGAGGACATGTTGTCTACTCCTCACCCCTTCAAAGGGCTGTTTGAGGGTTAAGACCTGGCTTTAGGGTTCAGTTTAGAACTGGATCTAGGGTTAATGGGGTCCCTCACAGTGACGTACCTGTCAGGGAGCTGATGTGCTCACTGGAGTCGTCCTTACTGAGTCCCTCCTCCTCTGTGATGTGGCTCATCGGCACATTGAGACTCAGACTGTCCTCATCTGACGGCTGCAACGAACAACAATAAACCTGTTCAGAGCTGAAATGATTATTTTACACAGTGACACATCCTGGGTGTGTTTGTCCATTTTATATCATTATAAACCGAGTATCTTGTTGGCAGTTGGCACATTTAAGCTGCTGGGAATCAGGCTGAAAAACAAGAAGATTTTCTACTGTGAAACAGAAAATCATCAGACTTCATGCAACAGCTGGGTAAAAATCAGATGAGCTGTGAAGCTGTAATACACAATGATGTGCACAAATACACAAACATACAGGTTTCTAAATCACTGAAAGGGAAGCACAGACACACACAGTCTGACACACACAGTGGAAAACAAAGTATTTACAGGTTTTACTTAAGTATTAATACCACTGTGAAAACACTGCATTACAAGTCAAAGTCCTGCATTAACTGAAGCAAGAGTAAGTACTATAATGAGAAAATGTTACTTAAGTAAAAGTACTCAATGCAGAAATCGGCCAGTGTCAGTGTTATTTTATCATGGGTTACTCATGCAGTACTGTGTAGGCAGCATTTTACTGCTGCGGGCGGTGGAGGTGGAGCTATTCCTTCGTTGTATTGTACAGAACTGTAAGTCATTGAGCATTTTTATTAAATATTAGTTTTCTGATTATTTTGTCAATTTCTTGCTTCACTGTTCAGTTGGTGAAAGAGTTCAGGAAGCAGCGAGTCCACAGTGACACCGAGCATCCAAACCTCTGAAGTGTTGAAACAAAATGATTCAGAGGAAAAACACGTGGCAGTTTGTCACGACGAATGGCTAGCTATTATCAAAATAGCTGCCCTTCACTGATTGTCTCATCATTTCAGCTCTACATGTATTTACCGAAGGTGCAGATTAATTTATACCAGAGTGACACATTTTCTCTGCACACATCTTAATATGTAAAACAGCTAGTAACTGAAGTAGTACTAATGTAGTGCAGTAAGAGTACAACATGTCCCTCTCAACTGTAACAGAGTAGAAGCATTGAGTGTCATGAAAAGACAATAATGAGGTAAAGCACCTCAAATTTGTACTTAAGTACAGTACCACTACTACGCACAACATCACACATGCACAGTATCATTGTGAGGACCCCCGATCCTGACCTGAACCCTCACACAGTTTCTGAAGGGGTTAGGGCGGAACAGCATGTCCTCACTACAACGGTGCTGAGCCAAACTTCGTCCACACAACCACAGGGAGACACGTACATACACAGACCTCCGTACCTCAGTAGCAGACAGCCTCTTGTCCCCGTTGTCGCTGCCGACTCCTGAGTCGCTGTCCTGCTTCTTCTGCTGCTCCATGTCCTCCACACTGCAGGTACACAACACAAGTCACACACCTGAGGTAGGTCTGTGTGTGTGAGAGCTAAAGAGCAAGCGAGCTACAGTGAAACAGAGCACAGGCTCCTCCCTCTCTCAGCTGTGTTCACATCCTGAGCTCTGGCTCAGATCTCAGTGTTGTACTGTTGGCTCTTCACAGTATGTGTGTCAACCACTGTACTTGTATTTTAATTTGCCACATGCTTGTGGTTCATGCTGTCTATTAACCCTTTGTCCCACTTTCTCTGTGCAAAAGATGCCACCTCTTCACTCTGGCAGCCGCTGGTTCAGACTTTAGCTGCCCAGAGCTCCTCCATGGCTGTTTGTCGGCTGGAAAAACCGTTCTTCTAACCTCGGCTAGATGGCAAGCAGGGCTGATTTACAGAAGAAGCTAATAAAAATGCACAGGGAATACATTTCAATGAGGAATTATAAATAAGAGGAATTGTTCGCAGTGCAAGCTGGCACACATCAAACGCACAGTAACAACATGCGCTGTGGAAAACTGATGGGAAAAGCTCAAGACATTGGCTATAACCATACCCCCGGCAGAAAAAACTGCCCATAAGAGCACTGTTTCAACAGAAATCCAAGTATGCTGCCCGTCTCATTATTCTGACTAATCCATGTGGCGGCCCGACGTTCAATACCTTCAATTTAAGTAAGTCACAGTTTAACTACTGCATCAAATGCTGCTGTCTTTTGATTTTTAAATGCTCAGAAATATGTTCTGGTCACTCCTTTGTAGGTTATTTATTAAACAAAGACAGTCGGCACTGAAGAGCCGACTGCCAAAACCCTTGGTTGGGTACAGCCCAACCTCTGACCCCTGCTTCCTGGTGGCTACTCCTCATGCACATAGTACATATGCAATGCTCCGACAGCATATGTGTTGTTTTATTTTGGCGGGGCAGGTGAGCAGAAACACTTTTCCTTCATCCTGGTTGAAAGCAAACTGAGCCTCACTGTGCCTCTTATCTGGTTTTAAAAATAGCATCAATCTGTTCCCAGCTTCCTGTGGAGAGAGAGGAGAGGGAGACAGAGAACATCCACATCTCACCCTGCCACTTTTAATTATCTGCCAAAAACTGGAACATCTGTTAAGTAAAACAGTTGCATGAAATGTCACCAAAACAGTCTATTGAAGCGAAGTGACCTAGAGGAGAGGGACAGAAATGAGCAGATAGATGGAGACTGAATGGTTTAGAGCAAGAACATCAGAATTTCATGAGAAAAAACATGAGGGAAGAGGGAGACAGTGAGCAGTGGAGAGAGGAGGAGAAGAATAAAGACAGTAAGAAAAAGGGCGCATAGAGATAAAAACTAAAAAGAATGAGAAAGAAGGAACAGGAGTCTGAGGAAAGGATCGAGGATGTGTGTATTCCTGCCCACGTGTTGCAACTGTTTCATGTGGGCGGACATCACTGCGCTCCACAAACTCTGAGGCTAGGTTTAGTAGACAGCACTACACACAGCTCTACAGCTGAACTGCTGCAGGGACTTGTCACAAACCAAAGTACTGCATCCACTGAAACTCCGACCTGACGATGGTGCTAGATGTTACTATTACAGGTCATTCACACTTCTGTACCATATGTCAGGTGTTACGTTCTCAAAGGACGGAATGACTCCAGGTCAGTGGCTCAGACAGTCACCATCAGGTGCTGACAAAACTCTGCAGACATACAGATGCTGATGCTCTCAGACACTTTGCATCAGGCCAAAACGTAGTCGAGTTTTAAGTTCCCGACATGAAAAGTGACCCTTCACGTTTAGAAAGGCTCACTTTTAATATGGCTTTGCTGCTTTTGTTACAGTCATGTGTAGTTTGTCCAGGGGTGTCCAAATGTTTGCATACAACTGCGGCTCAGATTCTTTCAGTGGTCTCATCAGATTTTCCAGTCTTTGCTTTTCCGTTTCTCATGTTTGGAGCAGTCGTTCATTAGCTGCCTTCTGTTTACTCCACAGTCCTTTCACAGATCCTTCCCGCACTCTGCTACAACTCTGTGCCTCCAGTTTGCAAACCATTACAGACAGTCCCTCACTTGTTCTTCCTTTCTGCCCTTTCATGCACTTCTTTCTTCCTTTGTTCATTCTACCTACATTTGTTCTTTGTTTCATTCCTTTATTTACTTTTCTTCCCACCCATTAGTTACTCCGTCTTCCTTCAGTCCTTCATCCCTTGGTTATAAACATTGTCTAGACCAGGTGTATTTAACTAAAATGTAGAGGTCCAGTTAGAGAAAACTTCTTGAAGCAAAGGTGCAGAAGATCATAATGTCTAACTATTCAGTGTGATATATATTTAAGTAGACTAGTAGCTGGATCAACATCAGCAGGTAATCAATACCTGGCTGTTAAATCAAATGAATTCAGTACAATTCAAAAACCTTTTGACAATATGTCATGTAAGATAGAACTGAACATATATGTATGACTGCCAATATGTATAATATTCTCTCATTAACTAAATAAAAGTAGTATTTCACTTCTCTTTGTGGCAGATGATGCTGCTGACATGGGTATTTGCTTTATTTTATCACAAAACTCTTGTTTTTGTTTTCCCAAATGTAGTGTTTCACCTACAGCACTCATGCATTCTTTGACAACTCCTCCATCAGTAAATGGCTTTTTGTGTTGAGCCAAAATCCAAGCAACTATGCGGGAACACTCATGAGCACGTTGTTGGGCTCAGGATCCTGGTGGACTGGTCATATTGGTCGTTAAAACTACTTATTTTGTGATCTCACTTCAGATTTGAGTGGGTACGTTTGTTCAAAACCTTTATGCTTTATCTCATAATGGCGTTTCAAATTGGCGCTTTTAATAAGTGCCACGGCTTCTGAACATGAGACACACTGGTTTAGTGCTCCCAGTGGTAAGTATGAACAGAAATGAATCCGTCCATTCTGGATTAAATGCTCTATTTTCGCTGTCCACTTTTATTTTTTTGGACAGCGCCGTTTGTTCCGTATTTTTCTCTCCCTTTCTCCGTCTCTGTATCTCTCCCTTTGTTTTCACTACATATTTCGCTGTCTCTTTTTCTTTCTACCGTCTTTTCATGTGTAACTTGCCTCTAACTCGCTCATCTCTCTGCGCTATAGAGTCGCAATGTTTACTACCTGGAATGCACAGACGTGATTGGCTGAGTAGTATCATGTGGGATAGCTTAACTCGCATGCAATTGGTCTGTGCGTTTCCTCATCCACTAAACCACTACTGTAAAGGCTAAAAGAGCTGCGCCGATTAAAATAGAAACGCCCCGTCAGGTTTAAATCATAACGTTATGTTTTGGCTGTAGGTCCAGGTCCGTATGGGACAGCTTTTGGGTCCGGACCCGGAGCGTGGTCCGCCTGTTAGTGACTTCTGGTCTAGACTGTATCTTGGTCTACCTCTCTGACACTAGTCAGGCTGTCAGTGTGACCCAGCAGGGATCCAGAGGAAGGATCACTTTCAGCTGACTAATGGAGGATTTGGCTGCAGCCTGAGAAACTGAAGAAACGTAGCTCTTAGCCATTTTGCTTCAGCACTGCCAGCTTTTATCTGTGCATGTCAAGTCGGTTTTTATGTGTAGAGCCCCACATCACATAGAAGCCAGTTAGTGCCACGAATCCGAGCTTTGTCGTTACCAGCTTGGTTTGACGATGCTTTTGTTCATGTGCAACTCAGCAGAATACTGAACACTGTGATCAGCTGTTTGTCACTGAACCCTCCTTCCACTGAAACCTCCCTTCCGGAACTCTCTCCAGCTTTTAGTGCAGCCATTCAGAACATCACGTTCAATTTGGGATGAAAATGCACCATATGAACTAGTCTGAGTCCTTGAGTTTCTGTATCTGGCATGTGAATCAAAGAACCACGTATTCTGTGAAGCGGCTGCTCGTGTTCTGTTCTGAGGAGCTGCAGCTGCCAGCAGTGAACTGGATCTCTACCTCTGAAACAGCTCTGCTCTGGGAGGTACCACAGAGGATCAGCCTTCAAGCAGCCGCCCTTGGTGAAATAAATGTGCATTTATTTTAAACCAGTAAAATGCACAGTCATGTAAGATGGTCTCCTTTACACCCAAATCATTTTATGGTGTTTACTCTGCAGCTGAATGATGATAGAAAATGTTTCTTTCTTTGCCAAAAGGGTCAAAGAATGAGGAGCCAGTTGGTTTCCTATAAGCCAGAGCTGCACTCGCAGCGCTCACATTACTTTCTACTGGTTTAACCATTCTGTGAAGAAACCGATGGAAGAAAAAAGATTTCCCATCACGTCAACTGCGGCAGCACTAATGCAACAGAGAGAGGAGACGGTGTCTTCCCACTGTGGGACATACATACAGTAAGTGACTGACCTGTCGGTGGTGGGCCGTGACAGGCTGAGTCGCTCCATGACAGGCAGGTAGAGAGAGTCAGGCATCTTCTCACTGCGACATGCCTCGATGCTCAGATACTTGAATATGTGAACTTTACCCTTTATACAGATCTGACAAGGAGAAGAGAGATTCAAATCAGAAACAGCTGAACCGTCTGTTTTGTCTTTGTCTACCGCCTCCACCTGGATTCACACAGGCATCCACCTGACTGCTGAGTCACTGCACTCTGTTTGTGCAGCTGAACACTCCCCAGGTGGCTCTCATCCTCCCGCCTCAAAGAGGACGCAGCCTCATATCAGTGCTCTGGAAACTGCATCTCTTTATCACTGTGTCATGATAGTAATGTCATTTAGCAGCCAATCATGAAGTCCTTGTGATTCCTGCAGCTAGTCCAAGTTTATGTAGGTTAGGTCCATGTGACGTTGTCAAAATCACCAACAATTACATACTTCTCTTGTTAATTTCAACAGATATCATTTCTCATATATTGCAGCAAAAAGGATGTGCCTCTGTGTTAGCCTCCACTGGAAGCAGGAGTGTGTGCGTTGTGCAGGTTAGGGCTGACCCCGAATCGCATGATGATGGCAAAAGTTTGGATTATCACACATTCAGGGAAAGTAACGTACAACCCTAGTGCAGCTCAGAGAAGGCTGCTCCGGTGTCTGGCTCAGAAGTTGTTTTGCTGACTTCGTGGACAGTCAGCGCTGGAGCGGAGAGCATCACTACGGCCGCCAGATACCGGCCACGCTGCCCTGTATTTACATTATATTTCCAAAAAAAGTGACCAACAAAATGCAAGTCAACTCAGGTTGTAATTGATTTATAGGGAGCAGCTCTAGTACAGACTGACATCTGCTGCTCGTGAGCACCTGGCACCTGAACCGACAGCTGAGGAGCTTTAAAATAAAAGGCACAGTGTGAAGGACAGACGGAACTCTTCCACAGCAGCCTGACAAAGCAGCTCTGGGATCAGCTGCTGCTTCAACACAGTGAATGAGCTCAGGTAGTTGGAAGATATTCAAAGCAGAACCTGATTTTGTGCCAAAGATGGTCTCCTTAATCTGATACGTGTGGTGCACGTCGAGCTGTCAGTGCATATAGCCTCCTCACCCAACTATGAAATGTAAGAATCAAGCTCTTTGACTCTTTTTCACTGTAGCAGCACTAACAAGCCTAAGTGTGAGGAAACAACAAATCAAAGAAAGGGTGGGGCGCATCTGGTCACATATAGTGTGTTTAAATAACCCAGAGTGCATTTGCTGGGGCATGGTTTATTTCATGGCGTGGATGCTTTTGTTTTGCAATGAAGCAGTTGACTTCCGGTTTTGAGCCGTGCACTTTTGTTTTGAGTGCACGCTTCCTGTGTAGTGTTTAGGGTGATGTAGCTTACTGTACGAAGCTGACTGAGATGGAGTACTCTTGGACATTAGTTTCATACTGGCAGCCCCTCTGAAAGAGGCACAAGCTCTTATAGTCGAGGATGGTGTATGTAAAGCATAAGGTTCACAAAAGGAATAAAACACCAAAATCACCAGTAAAGTACCAAAATCACCAGTAAAGTGCCATCCTTGCCCGGGGGGGGGGGGGGTGCTACAGTGTGCGTGTGCATGCGTACCTGTGCGGGTGGACTCTGCAGTGGGTTGTTTTCTAACTGGAGCGACTGGAGCTGTTTCATCTTCCTGTAACGCACTGGGATGGTTGACACCTTGTTACAGGAGAAGTCAAACTTCACCAGAGGAAGGTCAGCCAGGTCTGCAGGGAGAACACACCGAGCAACAGAGACCACTTCAACAGCTGGAGTTCCAATGGCATCAGAAAGTTTTCACTTTAGACATGGTTTGATCCCCTGGACCTGAACTGAGCCTGGCCAGAGCCGGACCACAGAGGTCTAAAGAGAGTCACCTGAACTTCATGGCTTGGTTTGTGTCCTGACATGCAGTGTCAACTGTGGGACCTTATGTCTTTCTAAACTCTGTCCAGGCAGGTCAGGTTGCCACAGGTGGCCTCCAGTCAGGTTCTAGACACACGTCAAACAGGAAGCACCTGAGCACAGCCGGGAGCCACAGCGAATGCTCTGAAGACTGTTGAATATTTAAATTTTTTAGAAATTTGCTTCCACTTTGTCATTATGGGTCAATGAGCGCAGACTGATGGGAAAACCTGCAGTTTTATCTGTTTACATTTGAACTACAAAACAATACTTGTGCAAGAAGCAACGCGGTCTGAACATTTTCTAAAGTTCTTTCTTTCGAGTTTTTAGATGAGATGAACTTTGTGACACACAGGACCAGAGCCCATTTACTGCAGAAGCCTGAATATAAGATTATATATGTTCTGTGTTAGAAAATGTAAGGACACTACATCATAAATCCACAGCAGCAGAGGTTAGCTGCTGGGAGGACTGAGGGGTTTCTTCAGCTGGTTTATGACAACTCCTCAGGATTAGTCAGCAGGTTTTCTATGAAGCCTCACTGAGCCCGTTTCAACAGCTCATGTTAAATGTTCTGCTGCCATGTCGCGATGACAGAGGGGGGTGTTAGCAGCCGAGTGTCTGACAGCAACACATCTAATATTTGTAGTTTTTGTGTTTTTTTTTAACTGTCCCGTGCAGTAATCTTTAGTGCTGTGCTGCTATGGTATATATTTGATGCCTTTATTTTGTATTATTATTTATCTATTTTATACTGCTAGGCATTCATTGTGGACAGAATTTCACTGTACAGGGAAACATGGTTCCTCGCTGTGCATATGACAATAAACACTTTGAACTTGAACAAATACAATCAGTACGATTTAAAACCATCTCAAAAATTGAGCAGGGCACTATTAGAGGATGCAGCTGACCACACAGGGCCTGAATGGACATTTCTGTGCCACCTCACTGACAATGCAATCAACAAGGTGTCACTAGCACAAGTCTGACAACCGTTAGTCATGGCCACACAGAATAAAGCCACTGAGTCAGCAATGTGCAGGATATTCTGGTCACTCAGGGCAGAGAACTTCCGCCAGCAAAGTGTATGGTTAGTTTGCCTCTTGTGCACACACACACTTGTACTTCTATCTTTGTGAGTACACCCACTGACATAATGCATTCCCCTTACCTTAACCATCAGAACTAAATGCCTAACCACAACCCAACCATAACCTAAACCCAATTCTAACATGAAGAAAATAACGTGGGCTTCATAGATAACTGGAAAACATTTTGGGGAACAACTGGTCTGATTAGTAGAGACGGCATCCATCCCACTTTGGATGGTGCGGCTCTCATATCTAGAAATCTGGAAGAGTTTATTTTACAACCTGAATTATGACAACCCAGAGTCAAGTCCAGGATGCAGGGTCGCAGTCTTACATAGACAGGTGTGTGGCTTTCCTAATCACGTCCAATCAGTATAATCAAACAAACACAGCTGGACTCAAATGAAGGTGTAGAACCATCTCAGGGATGATCAGAAGAAATGGACAGCACCTAAGTTAAATAGGAATGTCACAGCAAAGGGTCTGAATACTTATGACCATGTGATATTTCAGTTTTTCTTTTTTAATAAATCTGCAAAAATGTCAAAAATTCTGTGTTTTTCTGTCAATATGGGGTGCTGTGTGTACATTAATGAGGAAAAAAATGAACTTAAATGATTTTAGCATATGGCTGCAATATAACAAAGAGTGGAAAATTTAAGGGGGTCTGAATACTTTCCGTACCCACTGTACAGTGCCTTGCGAAAGTATTCGGCCCCCTTGAACTTTGCGACCTTTTGCCACATTTCAGGCTTCAAACATAAAGATATAAAACTGTAATTTTTTGTGAAGAATCAACAACAAGTGGGACACAATCATGAAGTGGAACGAAATTTATTGGATATTTCAAACTTTTTTAACAAATAAAAAACTGAAAAATTGGGCATGCAAAATTATTCAGCCCCCTTAAGTTAATACTTTGTAGCGCCACCTTTTGCTGCGATTACAGCTGTAAGTCACTTGGGGTATGTCTCTATCAGTTTTGCACATCAAGAGACTGAAATTTTTGCCCATTCCTCCTTGCAAAACAGCTCGAGCTCAGTGAGGTTGGATAGAGAGCGTTTGTGAACAGCAGTTTTCAGTTCTTTCCACAGATTCTCAATTGGATTCAGGTCTGGACTTTGACTTGGCCATTCTAACACCTGGATATGTTTATTTGTGAACCATTCCATTGTAGATTTTGCTTTATGTTTTGAATCATTGTCTTGTTGGAAGACAAATCTCCGTCCCAGTCTCAGGTCTGTTGCAGACTCCATCAGGTTTCCTTCCAGAATGGTCCTGTATTTGGCTCCATCCATCTTCCCATCAATTTTAACCATCTTCCCTGTCCCTGCTGAAGAAAAGCAGGCCCAAACCAGGATGCTGCCACCACCATGTTTGACAATGGGGATGGTGTGTTCAGGGTGATGAGCTGTGTTGCTTTTACGCCAAACATAACATTTTGCATTGTTGCCAAAAAGTTCGACTTTGGTTTCATCTGACCAGAGCACCTTCTTCCACATGTTTGGTGTGTCTCCCAGGTGGCTTGTGGCAAACTTTAAACGACACCTTTTATGGATATCTTTAAGAAATGGCTTTCTTCTTGCCACTCTTCCATAAAGGCCAGATTTGTGCAGTATACGACTGATTGTTGTCCTATGGACAGAGTCTCCCACCTCAGCTGTAGATCTCTGCAGTTCATCCAGAGTGATCATGGGCCTCTTGGCTGCATCTCTGATCAGTCTTCTCCTTGTATGAGCTGAAAGTTTAGAGGGACGGCCAGGTCTTGGTAGATTTGCAGTGGTCTGATACTCCTTCCATTTCAATATTATCGCTTGCACAGTGCTCCTTGGGATGTTTAAAGCTTGGGAAATCTTTTTGTATCCAAATCCGGCTTTAAACTTCTCCACAACAGTATCTCGGACAAATGGTTCATTAATACAAGTAAATTAAAATAACAGCAGTTTGGGGCCCGGGAGAAAAAAGTGGAACCATGGTGCAACAATAACGGTTTACTGTCGACATGTTAACTGCAGCGCAACAATATAAGGAAATTTTCACACGGAATAACGCAAATGGATAAATTTGTTACATGGACCACAAAAAAGTAGGCGATTCAGCGCAAGCAGACAAAGAAACGACAGGCAGTAGCCTTATCAACCAAAAAGCCATCTGAAAAGGAAATATGATGAAGCCTATCTTGAGCTTGGATTCACGGTGGGAATGGTGGGGGCAGAAGACAGACCCATGTGTGTCTTGTGTCTTAAGCCGCTGGCAGCAGACGGCACGAGAGCCAACAAATTAAGAAGACATTTAGAGACAACACACCTCAGTCACGTTAATAAGCCACTCAACTGGCAGAAAACCGTCAGCAGAAAAATCGCATGGTAAAATCTGCATCAGTGAACAGCAAAGTACAAATGGCTTCCTTCAAAGTTGCATACAGAATTGCACAGTGCAAAAAATCTCACAATAGCTGAGCAGCTCCATTCTCCCTGCTGCTATACCGGGAGAAAAAAGTGGAACCATGGTGCAACAATAACGGTTTACTGTCGACATGTTAACTGCAGCGCAACAATATAAGGAAATTTTCACACGGAGTATGTAGTGGGCATAATAACGTAAATGGATAAATTTGTTACATGGACCACAAAAAAGTAGGCGATTCAGTGCAAGCAGACAGAACCGACAGGCAGTAGCCTTATCAACCACGAAGCCAGCTGAAAAGAAAATATGATGAAGCCCATCTTGTGCTTGGATTCACGGTGGAAATGGTGGGGGCAGAGGAGAGACCCATGTGTGTCTTGCGTCTTAAACCGCTGGCAGCAGACAGCATGAGAACCAACCAATTAAGAAGACATTTACAGACGACACACCCCAGTAACGTTAATAAGCCACTCGACTGGCAGAATACCGTCAGCAGAAAAATCGCATGGTAAAATCTGCATCAGTGAACAGCAAAGTACAAATGGCTTCCTTCAAAGTTGCATACAGAATTGCACAGTGCAAAAAATCTCACAATAGCTGAGCAGCTCCATTCTCCCTGCTGCTATACACATGGTGTTGATTATGCTGGATGAGACAAGTGCTGCAACATTGAAAACTATCCCCCTGTCAAATGATACAGTTGCACTTATATTTTATCTGTTTTGAACTTGGTGTTATTTGATATTTCAATGCATTTGAAATTTAAAAATTGGCTGATTTCGTTATTTTTTTGACAAGTAGGGCTTGAAAACTCGCCCACCCTCTTAAGAAGGGAATGACAAAAAATGTTTGAGAACCACTGGTCCATGAAGCCAAATGAATCAGATCAGCTGGTCAAACTTCAAGCATGTCTTAAAGACATAAGGGCCTGGATGACCTGTAACTTCTTACTTCTAAACTCTTGACAAAACTGAAGTCATTGTGCTTGGGCCTGAAAATGTTAGAAATCTGCTATCTAATCATATAGTTAGTCTAGATGACATAGCTCTCGCCTCCAGTACTACTGTGAGGGACCTTGGAGTCATTTTTGACCAGGATATGTCCTTTAAATCACAAATAAACCAAGTCTCCAGAACTGCCTTCTTTCACCTGCGCAATATTACGAAAATCAGGAGCATCCTGTCTCAAAGTGATGCTGAAAAACTGGTCCATGCATTTGTTACTTCCAGGCTGGACTATTGTAACTCTTTTTACTATCAGGATGTCCCAATAATTCCCTCCAGTTAATCCAAAATGCTGCAGCCAGAGTACTGACAGGAACTAGCAAGAGAGATCATATCTCTCCAATATTAGCTTCTCTCCACTGGCTCCCTGTAAACTCCAGAATAGAATTTAAAATCCTTCTCCTAACATACAAAGCCCTTAATGACAAGGCTCCATCGTATCTTAAAGACCTCGTAGAGCCTTATCATCCTAACAGAGCACTTCGCTCTCAGAGTGCAGGTTTACTTGTGGTTCCTAGAGTCCACAGAAGCAGAATGGGAGGCAGAGCCTTTAGCTATCAAGCTCCTCTCCTATGGAACCAACTCCCAGTCTCAGTTC